TTGGACAACATTCCTCCAGGCCTTCCTGTCCTCCACCATCCCCCAGAGTCCACTCAAGCTCACACTGACTGCTTCAGTGACTCCATCCAGCCACCTCATTCTCTGCCATCCCCTTCTTCTTTTGCCATCTATTGTTCCCAGCATTAGGCTCTTCTCCAGGGAGTCCTTCCTCCTCATTAGGTGGCCAAAGTATTTGAGTTTCATCTTCAGTATCTGGCCTTCTAAAAATCAGGGTTGATCTCCTCTAGGACTGACTTGTTTGATCGCCTTGCGGTCCAAGGGACTTGCAGGAGTCTCCTCCAGCAACACAATTCAAAGGCCTCAATCCTTCGGCGCTCAGCCTTCCTTATGGTCCAGCTTTCACAGCCATACATTGCAACTGGGAAAACCACAGTCTTGACTATACACACTTTTGTTGGCAGGATGATGTCTCTGCTTTTTACTATGCTGTCTAGATTTGCCATAGCTTTCCTCCCCAGGAGCAAGCATCTTTTAATTTCTTGGCTGCAGTCCCCATCTGCGGTGATCTTGGAGCCCAGGAAATCTGTCACTACCTCCATTTCTTCCCCATCTATTTGCCAGGAAGTGAGAGGACCGGATGCCATGATCTTAGTTTTCTTATTGTTGCGTTTCAAGCCAACTTTTGCACTCTCTTCCTTCACCCGCATCAAGAGGCTCTTTAGTTCCTCTTCACTTTCTGCCATTAGAGTGGTAACATCTGCGTATCTGAGGTTGTTGATATTTCTCCCAGCAATCTTAATTCCAACTGGTGATTCATCTAGCCCCGCCTTTCTCATGATGTGCTCTGCATATAAGTTAAATAGGCAGGGCGACAGTATGCAGCCTTGCAGAACTCCTTTCTCAATTTTGAACCAATCATTGGTTCCGTGTCCAGTTTAGACCCCTGTCAATTTTCAAACAGTTTGGAACACTGACCAATTAGGACTAGAGGCTACCCTCCTTAACAAAGTTTGCCAAGGCTAAGTTCCAAAAGCCATGCCTAGCTACTAGCCAAGCAGCAGGCTGCTGCAAAAATGCTCACACCATCCAGCTACAAGGGGACTGCACAATGCAAGTGACTGAAAACCTATTTGTGTGTTTGTTTTTTAAATGAAGTTGGCTCCTATAATACTCACTTGGGGATGAATCCCAGTGGCAAACTGCACACAAAGCCCTTGTATCCTGCAGTGGATGAACTATCACTCAGACGGGCAGATGGCAAGTAGTATCTGCTACACTCAGTGATCTGGCTTGCATGGCAGCCAACCATGGCTTGCTTTAGAACAGCTGTGATGTTGTGCCTGGTGCTTCCAGGCACCATTTCTTTTTTAAACAATACGAAGATAAAAATACATCATAAAGAAGAAAAAGAAAAAACACACAAGATACAAAAAATAGAAAACTACTAGTGCACCCCTCCATTGGGACCATGGCTACATGGTATTTATTCCTTCATTTCCTTCTTCCTTACTTCTACTAAATTTCCTCTTTCAGGAGTACTCCCTTCCAGAATTGCACTGAGTCATCTGAAGGTTTAATACCCTTTCCTTTTATTAATACATGTTCAACAAACAAGCTCAATATATCATTAAAATCTTTCTTATTTATCAAGTTTTTTTTCGCCTTTTCACCTTAATTCCACATGTCAACTTAACAGCTATATTCCTGATTTCTTTATACCAATCAGTTAACTGGAAATCTTATTTCTCTTTCCAGTTCTTTGCTACTATCAAATCTTGCTGCTGTTACCAAATTTGTTGTTCTTTATTGTTCCATTTCCATTTCTTTTCATAAAATATTATCAATCATGTTATTCTAGGCACCATTTCTGAATGGCACAACATAACAGCTTGGCACAACCCCTATTGGCTGGATTTGAACTGCCATTTTCTTTCCCACGATACCTCCTTGCACGTGACACACATGCCATTCCTATAAGGCATTGTGGGAAGTTAAAAGTGCCGCTTAAGCCCAGCCATCCAGTGCTGATCTCTCTATGGCGGCTGCCACCCCCCATAGCCCAGAGAGCCCTTTCAAATATGGAACCAGCTTGTCTGCTTTAATCTCTTTTACGTTTATTAGAGTTAGTTAAATTATAAAAGACTCTTCTAGAAAAGTGGCAGCACGCTCCTATATGCAAGCAACACACAGAGGTAAGCCTGGTTCTCACTCCTAACAATCATTGATTGCAATTATCAAAGAACTTTAGCCTGGGGCTGTGAGTCAGATTCGAAGTCCCCATTTTGAACCTGACCCACTATGCAGCTATGCATGCCACAGGATGTGATGCAATCAGCCAACTTCACTCCTCTTTGGTGTAACATTAGTATAACAACAGAAAGAATTGGTGTAAATTCATTTGCATTTCCCCCTCTGGGTGCGTTGAAAGAGTTATGCGATTGATTCACCAAACAGCTAGATTCCAATAGTCCTAAATCAAGCTTTGGAAAGTGGGGGTAAAATATGGTCTTCCTTTTTAAAAAAAATCAGGATCTGGTGCATAGTGAAGTAGTCATATGACTTCTTCATTTACTCAGAAGTGGTAGTGGGGAAACTTAACCCCAGCTTAATGTACATTCAAGTTGATTAATTGAATCAACTCTCCAGACCATCAGAGTTTAAAAACTGCCTGTGCTGCAGCAAGAGAGTTCCTTAAGTATGAGGAAAGCGGTATTGGCTAGGATGCAGCTAGGATGCTGGCCCCGTGGTCATTCTGGGTTGATGGGGCAGGCAGCAGATGGTTTGAATTGGCCTTCCAGCTCCCTTCATTACACACCCCACCAGCTTTCTCTTTTGGTGGTGGAAATGCAGGCAAAGGACCCCTGAAGCTCCTCTTCCCAGGATGAACAGCAATAGAGGCTCTTGCTACAGGGAGCCCCGGATCCAATTTGCATGTAACATGCCATGAAGCAGAATGGGTGATCACTACCTCCTGCTAACTTAGCTCATAGGATTATTGTGACAAGAGGGGATAACTTCATGTTATTGCCACCCAGACCTCCTAGTGGGGGAGCATCTTCAAAGATGTTCCTTGCCTACCAAGTCCTTCGTGAGAGCCAAGGCCCATGAAAACAAGAATCAAGAGCTGCCTGGGCACTGCTGAAACCTCTGTTGTTTTACACTAGGAAGGTAGGGGTTAAAGAGTCTCTTTTCTGTGTTGGGCTTTTGGAGAAGCAAAACAGTAGAGAGAGAGAATGGTGGTTGCTGGCCCTTCCCTTCAGGCCCTGCTTGGTCAAAAATGCAGCCCTTTTGGACAAGACTTTGCTAGCCAGGGGCATAATGTCTTGTCTGCATGAGGAAAAGCCAGGTGAGATAACCTGAATAACTTGCAAAAAGCAGCCTGGTGCTCCCTTTTGCTTATTTTACAAATATCGTGTGGGGTGGTGAGCAGCTCTGTGCTTGTGCTCTTATTTCCTGACCACCCAAAGTCCAAGTAGGCCTCCTGAGCCCCCTGAGATTCCTGCCCACACATATGTATTCTCTGATCTTCACAGTCTTTCCCTCTGCAAAGCAGTTCCTGCCTCTCCCTTTGAAATCATGCTGAGCTTCTTCCCAGGGAGCTGAAGTTTGCACCCTATTGCACCCCAAATCCCACCCTCGTATGGTGTGATTGCAGACAGGAGCACGAAGCATACAGAGTTCTGCCTTACGGGCTCGCCTGTTTCATTCACAATAAGGACTTGAGATCTGTGCTCTACGATTACAGCTGCTTTGTTGGGCACAAACCCCGTCAGAGATGTCTGATTAAGAGGGAGAGATGGCTCCTTCTCTTGCCTATTGCTCCCTCAGTTCGTTCATTCACTGTCTCTGGCATGTTGCACAGCACTCCTGGAGTACGGCTTGCTGCAGCAGGGAAAGGGAGCAGAGCCAAAAAGGCTACGGGACAGTGCCAGCTCCAGGCTTCTGAGGTCTCTTGGAGAAGACACTTTCCAGGAGCCCCCACCTGCCATAATCCTCTGTCCTCACTGCCCGTATCGTATCCCCAGCTGTGCTTGCTCCTCCTCCTCGTTCTTCCCATCACTGCCACGTGCTGGCCTGACTGGCAGCCAAAGAGCCAGGGAGTGGGCAGGGCAGGCCATCTCCTGCTCCTGGCCAGAGCCACAGGCAGGTGAGCCGGCAGGTGGCCTAGGTGAAGAGGGACAAGTCCAGGGGGCTCTTGCCAGTGGGCTGCTGCTGGGTACCCAGCCATGCCTGCCCTTGAGTTGCCTGTGATGGGAGAGCGTGCCTCTGGGCACTGTATCTTCTGGATAATTGGTGGCTTCAGGTCTCCAGGTTGCAGCTCAGCAGCCCTAGTTGTTAGGGTTTTTTCTCTCCAGGTAAAGCAGGTGTCACTCAGTTTCCCTCCAGGCCAGTCACATGGATTTCCCTGGGACACTCAGTTCACATCTAACAAGACCCTCTTTAGTTCTTCCCCAACGGTGGAGGAGAGCCTCGAAGCAGAGCTGGCTTCTTTGCTAGCAAGCACCCCACTTAGAAGAAAGCTGCCCTTTCCAGCCCTGCTGTGTCACTTACCGGGTCAGAGTACAACCTATTTGGGATCGTGGGTGTCTGCTGGTCAATGCAAACCACTTTCCTCATATCTTCAAAGCTGGGGTCGATCGGCACCATATCAAAGAAAGGAGGCTTGTAATCTTCTACAATCCCTGCAGGCAGAAAAGATGCAATGGCAGCGAGGGCAAAGCTTGAGGTGCAGCATGCAATTGCTGTCCATACAAATATGCCCAAGACTATTCCCAAACCCAGCATCCCCCAGATGTTGTTTGGGGCTGCAACTCCCATCAGTTAACACAGCCAGTGCTCAGAAGTTATCAGAGTTGTAGCTCAAAACTTCTGGCAAGTACCAGCTTGGGGAAGTTGGTCTAAACGCATCTGCAGCGGTGTGCAGCATCCGTCTCACTGCCATAGGCCACCATGGCTCTGCCATTCTCACAAGCTGGAACACAGGGCAGAGACTGGCAGAAAGAAGGGACAGGTTGATGCATGTAGGAGAACGTTTAATTTTTCATGGGCTCTCTTTCATTTCCATGTGTAGATGAATGCATTGATTTATTTAAATTGACATCCTGCCTTCCCACTAAAAATAGTGCTTATTTGCTAACAAGCACAGTCAAAATAACAATGTTATGGCTAAAATAATAAACTCAATGATAAACTCAGTGCAAACGTAGTACAGATAACATAAAAACACATCAGTGGGAAAGAAACAATGGCATTCACCAGGTTAAAACCTACTTTAGTAGGAAATCAGCAGCACTGCCTATAGGCAAATGTCTTCACCTACTGATGGAAGGACCAGGTCTGGCCTTCTCAAGCAGGAAAGCAGTTTGGGAGCAGGCAGTGAGAAAGTCCTATGTTGTGTTTCTGCCAAGTGTTTCTCCAGCAATGACCAGAAGGGCTCTTCCAAGGATCTTACATCTGGGTAGCCCATATGGGAGAATGCAGTCTTTCAAACAACCTGGTCCCGTGCCATATATGGCCTTCTAGGTGATAGCCAGCACTTTGAATCTGGCTGGAAATGGAATGGCAACCAGAGCAGCTGTTAAGGGAGTCACAGGCTTCCTATTGCTGGCCCCATTCAATAAATTGGCTGCAGCATTTTGGACCAGTGGAAGTTTCCATAAACTTTCCAAAGGCAGCCCCATGTAGAGCAGCCTTCCCCAGCCTGGTGGCTTTCAGAGGCATTTGGGTTGCCACTCCCAGAATTCCCATCCAGTAGGGCCATTGTCTGGGGATTCTGGGATTTGCAGTCCAGTCGTGGGGAAGGCTGACATCAAGCATTTTACAGTAGTAAAAAACAAGGGTTGTATCCAGATAAAGCATTTACAGCCCCACCCCCTTGCTTCATTCATGTGATATGAATGGGCGGAACGGGTGTCTACTCCTTACCTCCTCATGTTCTCCCAATACTTCCTCTGTCTTATATCTCTAAGAGAAAATACATTAAGGAAAAAAGATGGAAATGCTGCACGACAAATACTTATTAGCAGCACCAGGAGCCCTCAGACTGAAGCAGGGCTGGCCCTACCTTTAGGCAGAGTGAGGCAGTGGCCTCAGGCTACAGATGTTAGAAGGCAAGAGCAAGGTGTGGGATGAGATGCCTAAATAGCCTACCCTGCACCTGCTGCTTTTAGGCACTGCCCCATCCCCAACTCTGAAGTAAAATTCAATGTCATTCCTGTTGGGTTTTGAACATGGGATGCAAGAAGCACCATCAGGCTCTTCACCACAACTAGCAAAATTCTTGGCCCTGCTCTGAAAGCATGCAGAATATAACTAAGGCACATCTTCCCATGGCTAAGCTGGACTTAATGGGTTCACCAGCAACATGGAGTGTGTTTAGCTCTTGCTCCACTGGTGGTGTGCCTGAGTGAACTCTGTCACTTCCTCCCATAGAGGTAAACAGCTTCTGTTCACTCTGGTGGGGGAAAGAAGACCACCACACTTGCTTTCCCTGTTGTGGGGGGATCAGGCTTGATGCCTGTGGGAGACCCCTGGTGCTGTAGCTCCCGCTGGCAGACATCCCACCAGGGTGCATGGGCAGTCTCTGCCCCCAGGGTTCCTTGCAGTTAGTCCTGGCTCCAGGGCTTGGACGAGCCCCACACTCCAGTGGCTCCTTCCCTCAGTAAGTCTGCCTTCTTGCCATCACTGTCATTTGCTACTGTCGAGCCTCCTCCTCCGTGGCTCCTCCTCCACGCTACCATCACCATTCGCTGGGCAACAGGGAAAGGCACGTGAACACTTGGTTGCAGAGGTCGAGCAAGTCCAGGGGCTCATGTCAGCAGGGGGCCTTGGCAGGTGCCCAACCAAGCCCACCCTTGTCATTGGCCCCGCTTGAAATCTGAATGATCTTTCTGAAGAGGCACAAATCAACACGGAACACATTCCCACTACATTTTTTTCCATTTCATAGCAAGGATGACTTTCCATCTCCCAATGTATAAAAACATTATGTAGCAAAGTGATTTTTGTTCAGAAAGTCTCCTGTGAATGCTGCCCGTTCTGCATATGGGTGCATTTTCATCTGGCTGCTGTTTCTTTAAGGGCATGTTGAAATGTTTCCAGAAGCATATACTTTCCAATGAAGTACTTGAACCTGTTTCCTGTGTGTGGGAAACCTCAGAAAGATATGAACTGTATCATATCTTATATCGCACAGGCAGCTAAAGGCATAAGTGGCGTCATTGCGCAAACAGGCTGCATGGGGACAAAGTGCACCAATTCTGTTATCTCAATGCTTCCCCATCCTGTGAGAATCTGCATAGCATTTGACACCAGTTCTGTTCAACATACCAATACAGCAACAAGTTCTCGAGTGTCCAAAACCTGGAGCCAGGCTTAATGTTCTGATTTGCCAGCATTTGATTTGAGAGAGCATTTAACTTTTTGCAGTCAGAGCATCAGAGACAGTGGGAAGGTTCAGATGATGCAGGAAGCCTGGAGTTGCTTATAAGCCCTGCCATGTGGCTTCCTGGCATGGGCCCTCCAATGTGCCTGGCACGGGGTCAGGTACCACTGCGCCCCCCACCCCCAGTCTTCCTGCAGGTAGGAAGGGGCACTGCAGAAGCCCCAAGGTTTCCCCTTTCCCCATCTCTGCTTGTGAGGTAGCAGGGATCTGACACACCTCACCCTGACTCATAAGAAAAGCTCCAGAGCCATTGTGAGAGCTGTCATTACTTGGAACTCCAGGCAAGCCAGATCTGAAAGTTGTCTGCTGGAGAGTGGCTGCGCTTCCCTTTTAAAGCAAAGGAGTGGAATTTGCTAAAATAATGTAAAACATGTGCAGAATACGACCATAACTATGCCACCATTTGACAGTGCCATCCTGAGCATGCATAACTTGGCAATAAGTTTATGGGGGAATACTTGGGGCTGGCCTTGCAGGCAGCCTCAGGGTATGGGATTGGGGGAAGAAGCAATTCTCTGGGATGCACTCTGGCTGCTCTGACTGCTAATGGGAATTCTAATGTACACAAAGAAAGGTGCTGTTTCCAGCACATGTGCAGTTCTATACAAAGGACATGTTGCAGAAGTGTTACAGAGTGCCTGTAGAAAGGTATGTCAGGCATACAGAACTTCTGCAAAGAGCAAAGTTGGGCTTTGCTACATGAGGATGATAATCCGCTGTATCTATCTTCAGTTTCATTGCAAAACAGATCTGATCACAATACAAATTATGTGTCCTTTCCTGCTTTTCTGCTATAGAACCCTTAGGTGATGTTGTGGTGAAGTGGAACAGTGCCATTACACAGGTAGGAAAACACCCTTTTAATTTGCTTTGACACATAATACTGTACGTTCCTAGCTCTTAAAAAAGCAGCCTTGCTTCGGGATGATTGGACAACTGTTTTGATAGGGTCAATTAACCACTGCATTATGGAGCACAGAAAGTGCTCCTTAGATATAGAAGTGAAACTGGAGAGTCACAATATTGCCTCCTGCTTTTCTGCTATAGAACCCTTAGGTGATGTTGTGGTGAAGTGGAACAGTGCCATTACACAGGTAGGAAAACACCCTTTTAATTTGCTTTGACACATAATACTGTACGTTCCTAGCTCTTAAAAAAGCAGCCTTGCTTCGGGATGATTGGACAACTGTTTTGATAGGGTCAATTAACCACTGCATTATGGAGCACAGAAAGTGCTCCTTAGATATAGAAGTGAAACTGGAGAGTCACAATATTGCCTAAAGAACCTGTAAACTGCCATGAGTAGAGAAGGATGAGCACATGATAAATGCCTTGTGCAGAAAAGCTCTTGGAATAAAGGAGGATGGCAACAGTAAAGTTTCATGAGAATTGTCTGTGCCTTCCTTCCTTCCCAACGGCAAATAAAAACCAATCTTGGGAACCACTTGCAGCAGTCATACAGGGATCATGCTACAGCCAGTGTGGTTTCACATTGCAAAAACGACTGACAATTTCTTGTACACAAACTTCTCACCGTGGTCGCTGGTGGCACTAATATCTTACAGTGAAATCCCATGTGCTTTGACAGAAACAAGTCCCACCAGCCCCTTGATCTTAACATGTGAAAAACATTTTGATTTAATTTCCAATGACCAGCTATGATATTAAACCCTGAAAGGAACAGGAAGTAAGTGAGTGTGCATGCACTTTAAATGCACCTATTGGTGCTTTGTCTGGCAACAGTCAACCAGCAACACCTCTGCAAATCTGAAATGTTAAGCACCTGCACTTGGATTGCAGGAAAATGCTAGTACTGATCGATCATGTTGACAGGCTTGGTTGGTTGCAATATCCTCTGATAATCATGGCAGAAATCCGAAGACACACATGTTGGATTTATGTTGTGATATGCTGAAGAAAATAGCAAGCACCAGGAAATGAATTGAATAGGGTATGCTATAACCTTCTGTGGGTACATTTATGGTGCTTCACTTTGGTAGATGTGCAGTGGCAATGCCCCTGAATCCTCCAGTTCAGGGGTGGAAAAGCATGCAGGGACAACTCCAGCGAATAGCAACAGGTATCAGTTGTGCCCAGGAAAGGGTTCCAGACATATCTACTGCATCTTTAAAAGGAATACTAAGGAGCTCTGTGACACAAAAGTTGTAGAAACATAGCACATATCGATTGTGTACATGAAAGGGGCCAAACATGAAGTGCAATAGAATTTTAAGAAGAAGTGTTACGGTTAGAACTTAATACAGAGGGAATCATGATCACTCCGCTTCGAAAATAAGTCTCCGCGTGCCTCTGTTAGGAAGAAGCCAGCAGGATTCTCCCAGGCCAATGTCCCGTGCGGGTCCAACTACATGTGTACCAGCTTCCCCCACCACCCAGACACATAATGCCTGAACTGGTCTCCAGTCCCAGCTAGTTACTGTGAAGCCGTGGCCCTGAACGTTCCAGGAAAGCAGGCTCGGACATGGCCCGGCAGCTTTTCCCAGCACTTTATGCTTCTAGTGCCACCTGCTGGCCAAAATACCCGCTCCCCTAGAACCCGTGGCAGCTGGTCTTGGCTTACCGGGGATGGCTGCCCACTCTTCAGCACTGAAAATAGAACCCACCTGGGCCGGAAAACATGTTTTTGTTCTCCTGACACCCAAGGAAGTACCTGCTGTGCCTTGTTGGAATCAACCCCATCCACACAGTTGTCCTTCGAAGCAAGCCAGGCAACCCTTTTCCTAGGCCCAATCCTACACACTAGGCAACAATTGGGAGCACAGTTTGTGCGTGCGAGTGTATCCAATTAAAGGTTATGAACTGTGAAAATAATAGGCTTATCAGTTAGCACTGTTTATTCAGCAGGAGAAAGAGGATTAGCTTGACCAATCTGTGCCTTGATTAGGAGATTCTTTTGCTTTTTAATTAATGACTATTTTCTTTTAGGTCGCTCATTTCTGCTGTCAAGGGTCAGTCAGGGATGAGAATAAGGCTCCTTTGCCGTAATATAGGAGTTTATCCTATGTTAAGCTTACTTAGAATAAGCCCATTGAAATGAATGGGACTTAAGTTAGACTAACATTGGATACAACCTATAAACTGCACCTCAGAAAAGGCCAAAATGAAACATGACTGACATCACTGTAATGTAGAGGTGGGCAACTTGTGGCCCTCCAGAAGTGCAGGATTGCAAGTTCCAATAAGTCTACTCAGTGGGGGATGATGGGAGGCTTTTCTGAAATTTGAGAAGAATCTAAGCAGCAGGAGGCAAACAGAGTGGTATCATGATGAATAGAAAGACACAAGGCATCAACTGGTCCTGCCTGCAAGGTCTCAGCACTCAACAGACTCCGCCTAGCTTGGGTTAAAGAAGGAACTTGAGAGATGACAGATCATAACTGCAGAACCAAAGCAAGCAGCTCACAAAGCAGACCAGAGGCAGTGCCTGTCTTTCATAAGAACTATGATTCACAGGATGGTGCTTCCTGCCCCTTACTGCCTTCTTTGTAACTACGTGATACAGGCCCAGAACAACCCTGCTTGTGTGGAGTCTGCAGTTTCTTCTGAATAGGTGGAGATCAGGGTGGCTTGGTATTGACTACATTTTGCCTACTTTTCTTCTGAGGAGCTCAGTACAAGATTCTCCCTCACTTATTGTATCCACATAATACCCCTGCAAAGTAGGCTAGACACAGAGAGAATGACTGGCCCAAGGTTGCCCAGTAACTTTCAGGGCTGGGATCTGAGACTTGCCTGCTTAGTCCCATGCCTGCCATCCAATCTAGAGGAGAGCAACTTGTGGTTGTCCAGATTTTTGAACTACAGTCCTGATAATCCCTGATTATCAGTGTGGTGTAGTGGTTAAGAGCATGGGACTGGGACTCAGAGGATCTGGGTTCTAGTCCCCGCTCAGCCATGGAGCCAGCTGGGTGACTTTGGGCCAGTCACAGACTCTCAGCCCAACCTACCTCACAGGGTTGTTGTTGTGGGGATAAGATGGAGAAGGAGATGTAAGCTGCCTTGAGCCCTTTGTAGGAAAAAGGCAGGCTATAAATCGAAAATAAAAAAATTATTAGCTCTGCTGGTTGGGGTTTATAGGAGTTGTAGTCCAAAACATTTGGGGAGAGCAGCTGGCCCTAATCCTGCTCAAACTGCTGCACCACACTGGCTGTCCTTTCGTGTGCATACCATGCGCAGGTCTGCAGGATGAAAGGGACTGATCAAGCCCTGTTGTTCCCTGAGAAAGAAACGGTTTGCAGACACGGCTGTTCTGTTCTTCTGTGTGCTTACAACTGCACAGGTACGAACTTGCAGTCCCAAAGTGCATCAGATCTGCTTAACTTGCAGGCAGCTGACCCAGAACCTGTTCATGCTGCAAACTTGTACAGCATGTTTTTCATGTTACAAGCTGTATCCCTGGAGCCATTTCCTGGACCCCTCGCTAAATGCACATGAAGGGAGTAGGAGAAAAAATAAAGCAAGAAGGGGCCATCTAAGGCCTCTGCTCCTTTCTGAGAATAAGAGCAGGAACGACTTTGCTGCTTTGGCCAGAGGATACCAGAAGCTCCATGGAAGAGGCTCTCTGCCAGACTGAACTGTGATGCTGCTTGTTTCCTAATCAGAGCTGAGCAAACAAAGTGCTGATTGAGTCTAATGGTCCCTTTAATCAGTGAGCTGGGCGCTGACACTAGATTACAGTGTTTATAATTTACAGCTAATCGTTTGTGTGGAAAAGGAGGAAAAAAGGAAAAAGAAAAACAACATCCAGCTAGACCAGTCGAAAACTTTCACATTAGCAGACTGGATTAGCGATTATTTCTGCATGGGGAGCCAAGTGAAAGGGAGATGGTGGTGCACTGGCCAGGATCTCATTCCATTCTCTGACTGCAGCTGCGACTGTATGTCCAAAATGCGAGATTTACCCAGCTGCTGTGTCTGAAGTTTAAACAGCCCCCTTAAAACATGAGTGAGCAACTTATGCCCCCAAGACACTGTTGGACTATACTTCTCATCATCCCCACTCATTGTCTGTGCTGGCTGGGGCTAATGGGACCTGGACTCCCACAACATCAAGTTACCCACCCATGCTTTAAAACCTCTAGTGGTCCTCTGAAGAGAGAACTCAAAGTCTCCTGAGCTGGCTTCTGGATAAGCCTTTTAGCATCTGTTCACAAGACCCTTGAGCACCCACTAGTTGTGGGAGAAGTGCTTCAGAAGCCAGTCTTTGCTGCCTCCTAGTCTGTGATCAGCACCACGTGCATGCTCTCACTTTTGGCATATTGCTGCAAACTTTGCTTTTGGATCATTTGTAATCTTGTGCTGAAAGCTGAAACTTGCACGGAGTGGCAAATTCACGTGGCTCTCTTGCCACAGGATGGGGACCAGCATGGAGAGGTGTTGCTGCAGCCACTAGCACCAAGATGGTTGCATGAGAGCCCAACCACCACCCTTGCAGCAAAATGCCATGTTAATAACCGTGACAGTTGAGCGGATCCTCCAAATTCAGAGGCAGTGTACCTTTGAATACCAGAGGCTGGGAAAAACAGTGCCAGAGGGCTGTTGTTCTTGTGCTTGGTGTCCAAGAACTGCCTGGCAGCTGGACTAGATGGATCTTAAGCCTGATCCATTAAGGCAGGGGCTTGTTTGATATTGATCTGATGAAAGACACTTTGAGAGCCTGTTTGGCTGAAGTGCTGGGTAAAAAGGCTGCATGTAAATAAAGAAATGTTTTAGGGAAATAGTGGGAAAACAGATCAAACTGTGGCTTTGGAGGTCACAAACAAATGAAGAAGGTTACAAACAAGCAAAGAGTGAGTGTATGTGGAAGGGGGAACAAACCCCGCCTGATTATGAGCACAGCAGAGATGGTATGCTCACCAAAAGCTGAGTTCTCCCTGCCATGCTCTTGCAGTGCTCTCCTTTCTAACCTAGATGAATGCATCTGAACTGCCAGTTTGTGTGTGTTTCATTCGCTCTCCCTTACCATTAACGATTGTTCTCCGGGTGATCTCCCAGAGGACGAGGCCGTATGCCCAGATGTCAGTCCGCTTGAAGGATTCAAAGCAATCCATACGAATCTGTTCATCTAAAACCTCCGGGGCCATGTAGCGCTTGGTGCCCACCCGCGGGTTGTTCCCAATGTCCAAGTAGTCGCTGCTCTGGGAGTGCATGACCGCCAGGCCTGCGAGGAAACAAACATGCCGGTGCTGAGAAGGGTGCTTGTCCGGGAGGGTAACCACGATTTCAGTGCTTCCCTGACAAGAGTCTGTTTCAAACTCCTGCCAAGCCTGTTGTGACATGGAGCAGAGCCTCTCATGTCTCTGTGCCCCAGTTTCTCTGCAAAATGGGAACACGGACACCATCCTGCACCAGAGAAGTAAATATGGGGTGCGGGGGTGGGGGAGGCACATGTAAGCAACACTGAATTCTAGCACTCTGGCATGGCATTGATCGCCTTCAAGAAATGAGCCTGAAGCTGTGGTTATGGCTTGGTGTACAAGCTGAGCGGAGGAGACTGCTGGTGCCTCTGCATGGTGGACTGGATGCTTATCCTTTGTGGTCCATGGGTACCACAGCCTTGCTTAGCCATCAACAGCACTGATTAAGGACCTAGCCAGGGAGTTCCCAGGCGGCTCTTAGCACTAACAGTCAGAAGGCACTGTGGGACTATTTGCTCCTTAACAGATTTTCAGCATTAAGAGAAAGAACAGAAGAAGTGGCAGGGAAGAGTCCTGAGATGATATTTACCCCCCCACAACTTCTGTGAATGAGGTGTGTTTGTGGGGGGTGGGGAGCAGCACCACAAAAGCCTTGTGCAGAAGCACCCTAAGACTTACACTTTTGATGGTGGAATGGGGGCGGGAAGCGGTACCTGTTCTTCCCAGGAAACTCACTAGAGATAAAGCAGTGGTATGGGTGACTGAGAAAACATCCTTGTACTTCTCAGGAGGTGGGACTGGCTTATATTCTCAGGGTCGGATTGATTTCCACATCTGAGCACAGGCTCCCCCAGCTGGTGTGACTGGCTAGTGATCCTATGACTGGTAGCATATGGCAGACCCGGACTGCTCTTAGGAGTCTGTTCCAAAGTCTATAGTACTCTAAGTTTGTTATAGTACAGCAGGGGTGGGGGGGTGGGGCAGCACAGGGCAGCAGTTGCCCTCTGTTTTTCGGCGCCAGGCCAAGACCTTTTTATTTAAACATTATTTTAATTGTTAATTTATTTATTGTTTTTATATTTATGCAGGGATGTCTCCAGATTTTTAATGTGTTTGTATAGTTATTTATTTGTATTGGAAGCCGCCCCGAGGCTTTTGCGAATGGGGCAGCATATAAGTGTTCCAAATAAATAAATAAATACTCAGTCAATCAATCAATCAATCAATCAATCAAACTGAGGGCCAGAGACAGGGAAATTTCCCAGACTTCCTACATTGCTACAGCAGCGGAGGGCACCAGCAGCCCTGGCCTGCCCAAATGGCATGGCCAGCAGCCAACATTTCCTCACCCAGATCGGCAATGCAGCACTGCTTGTTGTTCTTGACCAGAATGTTCCTGCTTTTCAGGTCGCGGTGAGCGATGGCCGGCTTGCCCTGGGTCCCAAAGATCTCCACGTGCAGGTGAAGCAGCCCGCAGATAATGGAGCTGGCCAGGCGCAGGCAGGTCTCCACGTCCAGCACAGTGCACTGCAGGTAGTCGTACAGGGAGCCGTGCTCGTGGTAGTGCGTGATCAGCCACAGCTGTGTGCTGGAGTTCCTTGACGTCATGTCAGAGGCAATGAATCCTGTGGATGGAGAACCAAAGGAGAGCTCAGGAATGGGCTGCATGCTGCAGCTTGTAAGAGGGCTGTTCCAGAAAGAGATCCAAATGGCTGAGAACACCTGCTTGTGAACATACATCCTTGCCACTTGCTGGTTCCATAAAAAAAGATGGGACTGCCTTTATCTATTGGGGCACAGAACCTCTTTCAGCCTGGGGGTCAAATTCCACTTTGGAAAAGCTCTCAGGGCCACATTCCAGCGGTGCGCAGGCCAAAGGCAAACAGGGCAGGCCCAAAATGCAAGCCTCTCTTAACTGAGAACCCTTACTGCCAGTAATAAACCCCAGGAGGGCATTTCAAACTTTTAGAATGCGGGGAGCGGGCTGCACAAAAGGAGGAAAACCCAAACAATTGACCCTTTGAGGGGAAAGGGTGGGGCCCGAAGAAGGCAGTGTGGTCTTTAGGGTACACTGGAGGGCTGGATTCAGCCCCCTGGCTTGAGGTTCTTCTGCACCTCGTCTTTATCCAAGACAAATACCCAGCACCTGGATTGGAATTCCTTTTGCAAGGTCTTTGCCAGGGTCTTCCTTACACATACAAAGCATGTTCCCACCAAGCTATAACCTCTCCCTTCTAAGGTCAACCGCTTTCCTTGCCACTCCCCCATCTGCTGGGAAGGGTGCCTGCCAGTACGGTTCTTCCTGGCTCATTTTGCTTTTTTGCTTCATGTACTGCTGCAATGGTTCCGCCCTCACCTCCTGCCCCATTTGGTGAATCCTGAAGCTCCTGGGGCTTGTCAGAGAAATGTTCTGGGCCTGTGGCTTTAGGGTGTGGTAACCCCACTCCTGTTTTAGCATCCCCAGGGATGCAGAGACATGGTTTTCTGGTCCAGACAAATTGGAGGCTTGCCTGCCCAACACATTCAGAAGATCAGCTGCCCAGCCGGGGTTACTTCTGTGTCCAACCCTGTCACCTGAAGCACAGGTGGCTTTGGTGGTCAGGAGCACCTTTTCTCAGCATAGGTTGACATACCAGCAGTGACCTTATCTGGACAGGTATAGCCCAGCAACAGTTATCCATGTTATGGGAATCTCCAGAGCTCAGAAACTTTCAGGGAGTTAAAACTAGAGCTGCTTGGCTACTAGCTGGGGCCGGCCCATAGTGCTTTGTGACTCCAGTGCTTCAGCAGTGGCACGGGCCTTCAACCCACATCTGAGCCGAATTCAGAATGTTGGGGTTTTGTTCTAAATCCCTGACTGGCTTGGGACCAGAGTGCATATAGGATTGTCTCCTTCCATATGTACCTGCTCAAAGCCTCACGTCTTTTTTTGGAGGCCCTCCTCTGGGTGCCCCAGCTGGAGGATGCTAGGCAAGCAGCCACAAGAGAAAGAGCCTTCTCAGCTGTGCTATTGTGGGAGGGGAGGGGTTCCTCCCCAAATGTTCTTTGCTTTTAATCTTCCAGGTAACAGGCTCCAGGCAGGAGCAAAGCCCATTTGCATGAGGCACAAAGACCTGAAGAAGAAGGGCCTTCTCCCTTGTGGTGCTCTGTTTATGGGATGCCTTCCCAAAAGAAGCTTGCCCGGTGCCTGCATTGTTATCCTTTCAGCAACAGGCAAATACCTTGCTTTGCTCCCAAGGTGTTCTTTGATTTATTTTTCAGGTTTTTACCACACAGGGCTTAATGTTTTTCTATTCCTGTGCAATTTGTCATTTTGTACTGTACTTTATTCTTTTAAAAATTGGTAATTTGCTCAGAGTGCTTGTTATAACTACAAATATGCAAATATCCTCTTGCTTTCCTTCAGTTCACTTGCTCAGCTCTCTCAAGTTTTTGACTTTGGGATGCCAAAGACAGGCATGAAGTACTGACCAGAGAACTCATCCCAGGGTATATCCTGCTATTTGTGTACCTGCCCATTAAGAACTGTGACGAGGCCCTTCTGAAAGAGCCATCCATAAAGGAAGTAAGAGGGATGGTAAATAGAAGAAGGGCCTTCTCAGTGGCTGCCCCTCACCTTTGAAATGGGCCTCCTAGAGAGGTTTGCCAAGCGCCATCACTACTTTTGTTCTGGCACCAGGCAAAGACTGTCCTTTTCTGTAGGCATTTTGAGACCTGATTTTAATAAGTGATTGTTTTAAGATATCATGCTGTACTAGCATTTGGGATTTTAAAAAAAATTGTTACTGAGAATTGTAATGTCATAGCTTGTATTTTATTGTTGCACACTGTTTAGAGAGCCCTGGTGGGTTATTCAGCAGCCTATAAATGTAAAAATAAACAAATATCAGAACATTGGGACATGAGGATATACCCTCCTAATGTGAGCCAAGTGGGAGCAGCTACAGGGAGCCTGCAGCACTGCTCCCTGCCAGGAGGTACCCGCTTCCAAGTGACATTTCCCTGGGACTGCAGGCCCTGGTCTCATCCATTGGCCAGAGAACTAAAGGCCTCTGAAAGGCTGTGCTCCCTGCTTTAAGATATGCATTATGCTCCGGAGGATAGCAGCCTGCCCCCCGCCCCCCATCATTCATCAGCCAGAAAAGGGAGAGCTTGCTTTGCCCTTCCTTGCCAGAGAAAAGCATCTGCAAGGACTTTGAAATGAAGAACTGGGCCTGAATGTTGCTTTTTACCTCTTCCCTCCCAAGCCCTGTTCCTTCAGTGTTGTGTCTTTTAGACTGTAAGCCTGAAAGCAGGGACCATTTTGTTAGTAATATTTGGCCCTTTTGTGCTGACGAGGGTGGTAAAAATGCTGCAAATCAATCCATCTGTCCAATTCATCCCCTGGTATCGGAACACAGGACAATGATTGGCCTGTCTACAGCCACTTGGGATATCAAGGCACTGATTTATCTGCATTTCTGGCAGGACAGCTCACCTAAGATGTTGTCATGCCTCAGTAGCACTGTGTTGTAAATCTCGGTCTCGCGGAACCACGACTGCTCATCCCGGGACGAGAAGATCTTGACAGCCACATTCTCCCCATGCCAGGTCCCGCGCCATACCTCCCCGTAGCGTCCTTTGCCTGTTGAGGGGACAATGGTTACGTTGGATTTTGCCTACCTGTGCAAATGTTCTCTTCCCTGAGCTGCTCTGTGGCTCCCAAACATGCACTTGGGTAGATCAGCGCCCATGCTCCCTGGCTAGGCCACGGACGTGGACTACGAAGAGGAAGAATCTGAACCTGCTGGAGAGTTTGCAGGAACTGTCATAAGAACTTAAGAGAAGCCATGCTGCATCTGACCAATGGTCCATTCAGTCCAGCACTCTGTTCATCCATTGACAAGCCAGCTATCCACTGTTACACACAACAGTGTCCAAGGTAGGTATTGCAGGGCACCTGCCAAAGGCCCACACCCCAGCATGGCTCCACTGGAGAGACTTACTTCTCTTCTTCATCATGGCAACCTACTTGATCATCTGCCTCCCACTGATGGGTCTCTCTGGCCCAGCTCCTCCTCTTCCCCACAGCACCCTGCTTGTTCGGCTGCCTCCTGCTCTGGCCCAGACAGCAGGGTGGGGATGGGGAGGAGCAGGAGAAGCCCCAGCCTGCCTGCTTCCTGGCTCTCAGCCTGCCTGCCTGTCAAGCGAGCAAGCAGCAGGATGAGGAGAAAGAGAAGAGCAGCAGGTGAGAAGAGAAACTCACTGAGAGAGGGGGCCCTTTGAGAGTGTCTTGCTCAGGGGCTTTCCAAAATGCAGAGCTGGCTGGTGCTGATCCTGGAGTTCTTGCTAATAGCAAGAAATCCCTAGCAGGAGGCATATGGAATATGAAATTCTGAGTCTTCCTGAATATCGCCACTCCTGACATGCTTTATGGTAACATGCAAATCTGCCACTCTTGCTTGGGGCAAACAGTTCAGACAATCACACTTCGTATGAGTTTGCGTTTCCCACAAAATGAAGAGAAAAGAAAGGCCACTGCAAGGTGTAGTCACACCCTTTGCCTTAACTAGCAAGAGATTTGATAGCCTGATATGCTATCTGGGGAGCTAATTGCTGCATAATGGAGAATGCAGGCAGACAGATCATTTACTACATCTCATGCACAGGCACCCAGGCTTCTCTCTCCCAGGATGACTTCTGAAAACTGGCTCTGCAGTTATCTAATCTGATCAGTTTAAGCAGGATGAAAACTGTCTGTGGAGAGTACTGACTGGCTAGTAAGTGTGATGCCACCAAAGTTTGCAGATTATTTGAAACACAGTGGGGGAAACCGCTGAATGCATGAAGGAACATATAAGCTTTACTTTAAAAATAATAATAAAAAATTATGCTTATCTGAAGCATAAAGTGATCAACAAGATTAATACTGAATCAGTGTTTTGAACTGTAGGCATGCTCATATAAACTAAAAAACTGGACACACAATATATGAATTGCTGTGACTATAGTTAAGTATTTCTAAAGATCTCCATGGCTTCTAATAATACAATTTAGATTCAGCTGCATTCTTGCACACTTCCTTGTCGCTGTATGTACTTTTGGTTTATTCATAGAACTGAGATCCAAGCGCTACACATATCACTTTCCCTTTCTAGGTAGAGCTGTCCAATTGTGGAATATCACAATTACTTATATGCCCTCATATCCTTATATGCCCTCACACTCCTTAAGATCTGCGGGAGAGGCCCTGCTCCGAGAACCCTCCCTGAAGGAGGTAAAAAGGACATCTACTCGGAGGAGGGCCTTCTCTGCAGTAGCACCCAGATTATGGAATGCTCTCCCTGGAGAGGTACGCCTGGCACCGAGTTTATATTCTTTTCGGCACCAGGTTAAAACCTATTTAACTGTTATTTTAAAAACTAATTTAAATTTTAATGTTTAACCGTTGCTTTTATTTAACTTATTTAATTTGTACTTTTTGGTTAATTGTTATTTATTGCTGTTTCATTGTGGTTGTTTTATTTTTAAATAAATAAGAAGGGATTTTTTCCCCCTCTCTAGACAGGTATTCTTAAAAAACAGAAGCAAAGCTGGAATGTTGTGACATCATCCAAACAACCTGTAAACAACCACAAGCAGGAAATAAGTACACGATTATTTTCATTTCTAGATTGCCCTACAGATCTCTTATGATAAATGCCTTGTGTAGAAAAGCTCATATTCTGAGCTCCTATAACATCTTAACTGATGTAATCTTTCAATCTGTCACAACGTTCCTTTATATATAGCAGGGCTGGGCAATTGCTGGGCAAATGCCTTTTTGCCCCTTGGTCCCTCCTCATGTGATGCCCACCCCCTTCTTCAGGCTCTGAACAATTAAAACATATATTTTTTAAAACAATTTTAAAAATTAAAAACAATTAAAAATTAGCTTATTTGTTATGGGCATCATTATCTGCCCACCCCGCATTAGAGGGAAGAATAGTGGCTGCCTATGGGGCATGAATCTCCCACACACCCTTCTGTTTCTCAAATGCACCCTCCCACAGCTGTCCTCTCACTAACTACCCTGGTTTTCACACTGCTTCATCATCAGCCACCCCTCCTAACAGGCTTTTCATGATTCCTGCGTGAGAATGTGCATTACATTTGGCGCATGAATGCTGCTACTTTCTAACACATGAAAAGAAAGCTCTCAGAGAAGGACAGAAACAGGTGGCATGGGCAAGGGGGTGCATCTGTAGAGGCAAATCAGCAGCAGAGGGTTCTTCACCCTTCCCCAACTGCTCATTTCTCTCCTTTTCCTGGCCTTTCCTCCATACCTGAGCTTATTGTAGTCCCGAGGCAAACTGGGCAGAGTGGTGCCGGCAAGATGCTCGGATGGAGGTGGGAGAGGGGGAGGGCTGCAGAGGACAATCAGTATGGGGGAGTACAGGTTAAATGTCTCCTGTCTGTCTCCATCTGGCCTTCTGTGGCTCTCCAGACAGCCACGTGCCCAATTTGCTGCTGATTTGTGCAGGTTTTCTCCCACTGGGTCCTGTGTGCACGCGCGCGCTCTCGCGCACGCGCGCGCTCTCTCTCTCGCTCGTTTGTACTCTCTCTCTAGGATTTGGCTTTCCCCAGAACTGGAATGTAGCCCCCAAGAGCTTTGCCACCCTAGACATAGAGGGTGTCTTTAGCAAGGTATCTCAGAGTGTGAGCTGAGTGGTACAATAAGCAGGTATGAATCACAGATCAGGCAGGCTTATGTACCTGCTGATGATCTGGGCCACATCAGGAGGGGAATCAAAGGCGGGATCCTCCCATACACACCCATATTCCCTGCCTGTAGGAGCAGTTTGAGTGGGCCGGTCTCAGAGACATCTGTTGCACTGCTCTGCCAGGCATGCCCGCAGCTCTCTGCGTGCTCCTGCAGTTCCAGGTGGTGTTGCCTCTAATATGCCTTTCCCACATGCTAGGCAGCTCTCCAGTGGTGAAGCTCACACATGGGCTTGACTGTATTTTTGCTTACCAACACATTCAACCAGGGTGATCTGCCGAGCCACCGTTCTTTGGACAAGGAACGGCAATCCTGAGCCGCTTCCGGTGGTGCAGTCATCATTCAGCAAGTCCTAAACAGCACAATTAGGAACACAGGATGAAGGTCTGAGGAATGAGCCACATTTTGAGGCAAACCAAAATCTGATGTCAGTGCACCCTATTGCACTGGAACCCTTTTGGATGGAGCCTATTGAACTATCATCCCATCCCAGAAAACGCTGCCTTCACACGTTCAGGCCAAGCCAGTTATGAGGGGAAATGTAGCTGGATTCAGGGGTTCTTTCCCAGGAGGAGCCAGACAATGGCTTTGGAGGTGGTGGTGACGAGACGTGCCGGAGGACAAGCCAAGTCATGGACAGCAACAGTGCCAACTCCAGGCTTCTGCAGATCTTCAGCAAGCCTCTCTGCTCAGTGACTGGGTTCAGACAAGGCTTGAATACAGACTGTTACGGAACCATGGGTTATTGTGCTATCTGAACTCAGCTGTGCTTCATTAGCCACACAAACCATGGTTTGTCAGTCACAAACAATCCATGAAGAGAGCCCATCTTTTGTTTTTGTTTTGTGAGCTGCAGCCTAGTTGTGGTATGAAAACCATGGTTTGTTACAGTGGCTTCAGACAATACGGCAACATGTTTCAACCACAACCCACCATTCAGTGACAACCCACGCGCAAGCTGTGCTCAGTCCTTGAGTACGGGATATTTTGTGCTCTACCTCTTCCCCATCACTAGCACCAGCTGCTTTTGCTCCTCCTCCTCTTTCTCATCCTTGCTACCACTTGCTGGCACGACAGGCAGAGAGCCAGTGAGCAAGAAGGCCATGGCATCTACCACCCTTTCCTTGCCACCACCATGGTCTGGCCCAGAGCAAGAAGCACGTGAACAAGCAGGTTGCAAGGGGGAAGAGGAGACAAACATTCTGGGAAGCACTGAAATAGGGCAGAGCAAGGCAAAGGCAACCAACCCCAAAGCAGATGTGTCTGAGAGACAACAGAGAGCAAAATCCTTGACCAGCCCACCAGTAGCCGTTTCTTGCTTCCTTTTGTAGGGGCTGCTGGAAACTTGCAGCCAAAGCAAGCAGAGAAGCTCAAGAGGCTTCTTGTATTCAAAGTGGTGGGGCTCTGAGGTGCTATTTCTTGACCACTACTTACCTCTAAGGTACTGTCGCCAATCAAGGATGTCTTCAATATGATATCCATGTCCCCCAGTTCACAGGACCCAAACTGCATTTGTCTCTGCTGCTTCCGGACCACTTTCCGAACCAGGAGGATGACCAGCACAGCAAGGAGCAACAGGGCAAACAGAGGAACCAGGATAATCAGGAGAAGATCTCTGAGGGACAGACTCTCCTCTTTGGTCTCCTCTTCACCTGAATGGAAGAAAATGAAATCCATTTGCTTATCCTTACCTTTATGATGGTGATGAATCCTATAGGCCTGGGGTGGGCAGAAAACCATGTTTTGCACTTCAGTTCCCAGCATTCCTGACCACTGGCCATGCTGATGGAGGCTTTTGGGACTTGAATCCAAAACATCTTGAGATCAACCTTCTTCCTACCCTTGCTATAAGTCAACCATTTGTTGAATCCTGTTGGCAGAACAAGACTTCTGTGTCCTCTTCTCCTCCCTGCAACCTCCCTCCAAATGTGGGGGACCATCTGGAGATTTAGAGGGCATGTAAAGGGCTACAGTGGGGAGGAGAGCATATTGATATCTTGTCCCACCAGTTGCAACCTTGCTGTTGATCCACTGAAGTGTATCCAGTGCTATGCCATTCATGCCAAAGCATTGGCTATGTACAAAAGGAGACAACTTCCTCAGCCCAAAGGAACACTCATAATCATCAGGACTGGAACATGTGCATTGCATATGGCTGACAATTTTGTTTTTATATCATGTTCCTATCTTGTCCTGAGAAGGAGAAGGAGAAGTTCATTTTAAAAAAGAAGCTTTAGTACAAATTTCAGAGATGTGCAGTCCCCTCTATCCCTAAGTTTCAGAGAGTCTTATAACACCCTTAACTCTCCTTTACCTCTTAAAAAGAGCAAATTGGTGAGAGGTGGCATTGTCAAGGACCAAAGGAATTTAGCGGACAAGAAAAGCTGAGAATTCAAACAGTGCTCACAGCGGGCTTTTCCTCAGTGTTGTGCGCCTGCCTTCCTCACTGCTGAAGCCAACATATCTTTACTTGGCCTTAAGAAAATATTGGAGAGACCCTTCATGCTGCCTCAGAGCTGAGCTGAAATGCAGATCCAGGGAACCTGTGCCCATGCCGGAGTAGGTCTCCCATCTTCTTCCCAAGATGGGGCCAGAAAGGGGGGGATGTGGTGCTTTGAGATGCACCACCACAACCACCACCAAGAACACAGGTGGGGTGCTGTCTCCCTTCCTGGGGGAAAAATTGGACCAGAGAGGCTCCGGTACACAAATTAAAACCAAGACTAAGGTACTTGCATGATCAAAGCTGTCTTATGGCTGTGGTGCATAATGTGTGATCCTCCAGATGTTTATTTGTGTTGGATCTGACCTTTCTATGGAAGTGCCTGATCCTTCCTAATCTCAAAAGTTAAGCAGGATCAGTCCTGGTTAGTATTTAAATGGGAGACTGGAGTCCTGCACTGAGTCCAATGTCCATCTAGGCCCCTGATTCTGTGATATGATTCCACCAAGAAAATGGCACTCTGGTTGGTCCTACAAAAGATTTGCTTCCTGTGTACAGGTAACAAGAACTGGCCATGTGACTTCTTTTGCAGTAGGATGGAGTTTGCAGAGCTATGTAGGGGATGCATTTTCATTTGTCACTGTAGAGGTATCTGAACTACTACTGAACTTTTAATGTTTTTATTGCTAGTCAGATGGTTGAAATCCCTTCTCTTCCCTAATCGTGCTCAAGTATAGAATTACCATGGCTATGTAGCCAAAAGCAAAAGAATGTATCAGCTTGCTTGAGTGCCCAACAGTTGCAAACGTAGAAAAATAGCTTAGAGGGAACAAAGGACCCAAGAGGAGGAAAGGAATTCCCTGAACAACCCAGTAAGGACTGAGTATGCCCTTTGGCCATAGAATGCCAAGCATCTGTTGGGAGGGGGAAAAGAAGAAATGGAACAGAGTTCCTGCAAGCTGCCTGGGACACCGGAGGAGAGAACTTCACGCAGCAACACTGACTCCAACTCCTACATGTTCTGTTCTAGTCAGTTCCATGTACTCAAACCGTACTTGTTAGTGCTATCGGCCTTGCACACCTTGGTTCAGTCATCATTCACCTGGAGGCTGCAGCCAAGAAATACAAAGGAGACTATGTCTTGGAAGGGCAGCAATAAAGCAACCAGAAAAAACAAATAATCAGGGGTAAGGACGTGTCACTGGAGACCAAGGTCAAGATCATCCACACTATTGTATTCCTGATCACTTAAGTTTGGGTGTAAAAGCTGGACAGTGAAGAAAGCTAACAGGAAGAAAATTGATGTGTTCAGCGGTGCAGGAGGAAAACTTGGTGAATATCCTGTACTAACAGAAAGACAAGCAAGATCAGCTACTATCTCAAGATGACACAAATTCCCTTAAAGTTCTCCTTCTCCTGAAAGGTGATTTTAACTCTCTCTAAATCCTTCTCTAATGAATTGCCCTGAAGGACGTCGCTGTGATCTCTGACTTGCTCAGGTTTTAGGGATATCACATTTTCCTAAGCATCCAGAATTCAGTGCCAGAAGAGTCTTCATTAATGTGCCTGGTTTACATGCATGTCATATACACATCTATGTAAATTAACGCATGCTTCTTCATATATACCTTTCAACAGGATGGTGAGATTCAAATTGCACATGCTGAATTGGCAGCATTTCATGCCATAGTTATCGGTAGTGGACCCCCTGCAGAGCTCATTCTCTTTGATCAGGCATCCTTTTCTGCTGAAGAGTTCTCCATCCTGCCTATGTTTGCTTACAAAGCACACATTCCCCGAACAAGTGTTGTTTTCACATTGCCCTTTGCAATCACAGATCAGGTCACCTGTGGGGATTCAAAGGGAAACAGCATGTTTCATGGAGGTTTAACCCTTGTTCCCCAAGTTTCTTAACCTAATGTAACCAATGCTTCAGCGGTGCAATACTCAATATTTGGGATTATTTTTTTAGAGGGAGGAACAATTGAATTGGCATATATTTATTCTGTATATTTATATCCTGCCTTTTTTCCTCTTTCAAGGAACATGAGGTAGCTTTTATGTTGCATTTGCCTTTCCTCCTTATCCTTACAACAACAACGCTGTGAGGTAGAACAGGCTGAGAATCAGTGCCTTGCCCAGGGTCAGCCAGTCAGCTTCATGGCTGAGTGGGGACTGGCACTCGGATCACTTGAGTCCAACACCCTGGGCACTGTGCCACTCCAGCTCTCATGCACAGTGGGCTCAAGCATGTGACGCAGCTCCCTTGAGAGCCAGTCTGGTGTAGTGGTTAAAAGCGGAGGCCTTGGACTCAGGCGATCTGGGTTCTAGTCCCCGCTCAGCCATGAAGCCAACTGGGTATCTTGGGCCAGCCACAGACTTTCAGCCCAGCCTACCTCACAGGGTTGGTGTTGTGAGAATAAGATTGAGAGGAAGAGGAGGAGAGATATGTAAACTGCCTTAAGTTCCTTGAAAGGAAAGGGGTGGGAAGTAAATATAATAAATACATGAAAAATAAAAACTTGATGAAGCAAAGCAAGTTTTCAGTGCCCCCTGGGTGGGAGACTGTATGGACAACTGACTATGCTGCCTTGAGCTCCACAAAACAAAGGCAGGTTGCAATACAAGCATGAGAGCAAAAGGCCATTGCGATGGAGCTGGACATTAGCATTGCTCTCTGTGTCTGAGGAATAACGCTTTGCTAATACAACCCCCAATGATGCAATGCCGTGCAGCAGGGCTTGCGGAGCATGTTCAGCCCATGGGCCAAGCTCTTGGTTGGGGGCAGGGGAGGTTGCTCTCTTCCATCTGTAGAGTGTGGTGGGTGGGAACAAAATGTGACTTAATCCCCATTTTAACCCTATCACACATAGGCATGCCTGAATCACCCTACAGCACTTTCGAATGGCATCCCAGGCAAGTCTCCTCAGAAGTAAGCACAAGCAGCTTGTCTGTTCACAAGTATGCAGGACAAGAATCTGCATGCCTATGTGGGAAGCCTGCAGGCCTGAACCACTCAGCAGCTTCCTCTGCAGGCCTGGTCCAGCCTCCCCTGCAGGAGAAAGCGGTCATCTCCAAGGCTCTACGGCTTGGGGAAGATGCTGGTGGGACATCCCTTTGGGCCACAGGAGGCCTGCAGCTTCCATTCCATCCCTGCTATCGAGACTCATATCCCACTTCTGCCCACCATCTGCTCCCACTGTTTCTTACCAGCTTTGATGATTCTGGGGAGACTCAGAATTGCCCAGATAAGGCCCACGATTGCTCCTTGCCACATTTTCTGCACAGAATGACAAGCCAGAATGTATGCGTTAATAATACGGATCCTAAGAAGCACTATTCAGATTCATGCTGTAATGGTATTTATAATACTGAACATGTGTGGTGTCCTTGTGCAAACAGAAAAAGGAAGAAAAGAATAAAGAACATTCACAGCAAGGTTCAGACAGAGACCTCTTCGGAGGGGAAAAAAAGGACATTTGCCAAGGTTCCATTGAAAGGATAATCTGTGGGTCTCTTCCCAAATGGAGTCTCTGCCAGTGACTGAGGGCCTTTAGCATGGTACCTCTTGGCCTTCCCAAGAGCATTCTTGGAGTCAGTTTCCCAAAGCTCTACTATCATTCTTTTCCCACACAAACCTTTTTGTGTGAGAGTGATGGTTTTGCTGTATGTCCTCTTTGGAGTCTCTGAACGCAGCAACAGTTCTAGTCTGAGAGGAAGCATGCCACAACCCTGCAGACAACCTCAGGATTCAACCCCGAAGCTGTAGCACAGCAGCTTGGAAGAAGGACTTCCAAGACTGGGTTCAGATAACGCAATAACTCACACCTGGGTTGAGTATGGGTGGCGTGCAGGTTGTCGCTGAAATATGGGCTATCGTATTTTCTGAATCCACCAATGCTAAGAGACCATGTGGTTCGTGAACCACAAACATCCCACAGTTCACAACCCAAAACACTTAGTACACATGCGACTCCCACAAACATACGGCGCTGCTGGCCCAAGACATTGTGCAGTCTCAGGCCGTCCAGCCAAAGCCTTCTGCCTGCACAGCAGGTGAGGGCAGCGCTCTAAATCTGTTCAGGGCAGGCGACACACTGGAGTCGGCTTTCCAAGGAAGATGTTGCCTTAACGACAGCACAGCTTAGTGAGAGAGCTTGCATACCAGGGCTGGGCAGCTTCTCTTGGGCTGAGAGCTACACTGGATATTGGGTGGGATGGCTCAGGACAGCTCACCTGTGTATGCACACGTAGAACACACACACTTCTCCACATATCCTGCACATGCACACACATCACACCATCACACAGTTATACACACGTATAGACATACTCATGCTTAAACCTGCCCGCCTCTAATTGGTGAGCACAGGGGTTGGGGGAAGGCCTGAAACTTGGCTGCATTAAATAGCATTGCTGGGATGGAGGCAAAGTTAAAGCCTCCCACCCAATCGCAGCAGTGCTGCTGAAGACTGCTGTGGTGGGAAGGGATTTAGCCTCAGTCCGCTGCATGATTTTCCAGGGGAAAGGGGCGTGCTAGGAACCCTTCCTGGGCACCTCTTCCCCCTGTGACATCGGTCTGGCAGGAGCAGGATCCTCCAGCGAGAGATGGCACAGGGGCTGTCTCTTCACTCACCCCTTTCCCTGAGTGTATAATACATGCCACCTGGAGGCTCTACCCCAAGAAGGGGGGGATGTGTGGCTGACTCAATGCTTTGCATGCTGGTCCCCAGCTTTCCTGAGCATTGGCTATGCTAGCCGAGGCTGATCAGGTCCAAAACCTCTGGAGGGGCCCAGACTAGGAGAAGCCACATGCCCCCTCTGGGGAGGGCCCCTCAATGACTTAGCAGACTTGCCCACAGCACTCCAGGCGAAGCGTGCAGAGCCTGCTTGCAAATTCAGCTTCGGTTTTGAACCTCCAGCTCTGCAGGGTTTACCTCCTCACCCCCACTGGAGAGATGATTTTCCAGGTTGAGTTGTTGGCAGGACCTTGGAAGGTACAGAGTTTGCCCTGTGCTCTTGTGGGGATGGATCCACTTTTGCACAGCTTTTCCTGGATTTGCTCCAAACTGTCCCATCTCTGTCCACAAGCTGAGGCCAGCTGTTGATTTCAGAGACTCAGGGTTTCTTGTAGTGGGCTTATCAATGCTATAAAAATACTCTTTGCAGGAATCTAAAAATGTTCCAGCTGCTCCATTGAGGAGACAAGAGTGGGAGGTTTGGAGGGGGTGCAGAAGTTGCTTGTTTGTCTGTTTCCTTGTGAAACAGAAACTCCTGCCAAGTTAAACCCAGTGGAGTCTTGACCTCACCCATTCCCCTTCCAATTCCTGCAAACTTCCCTTTTGTAAATGCAGCATGTGGGACCTGAGAGCCCAGGACCATTTTGTTCTTCATTGCCCACAGATTCCTAGCACAAACAAGCCATGTGTCCGCTTCCTGCTATTCAAGAATTCCAGCGTGCAGCCAGGGCGTTGCAGACTGGACAGGAATCAAGATTGTTTAGATTCTGCCCTTGATGGGGGAAAATGGAGACATGTAAACAGAGAGATCCATAAGTCTTTTGAGATCTAGCAGAGAAACACACACACAGCCTGGCTCCAGCCACAAGGTCGCCCAGCTGGGGCAGAAATGGTGCCCCACCACCATAACGATTCCAGCTTGTTTTATTGTAGCTCAGGGAAGGGAAACACACACGAGACTCCACCATCTTCCTGTAAGTGGTGGGATCAGAAAGAAAATAGTGACATTAAGATCCAGCACAGAGAGAACAGCAGCCAGTACAAATCAGCATCAGGAGCAGCTGCTCCCCTTCTTTTCTCCAGTGTGAATCCACCCTTCTTTCCCTGCTATGCCTTAACCACAGGCAACATCAAGCCATGGTTAATGTGAAGCAGGGTTCCCTTCTCCAGAACTGGGAAGAAGTCACATTTCTTCTCCTGGAGAACACACCAAGGAAGATGACAATGACAACGTTTATATCCTGCCTCTTTTCCCCTTGCAAGGAATCTTAGATAGCTTACATGCTTCTCCTCCTCTCCATTTCACCCTCACAACAACCCTGTGAGGTAGGTTATGCTGAGAGTAAATGACTTGCCGAAAGTCACTCAATGAACTTCATAGTCAAGTGGGGACTAGATCCCAGGTTTGTCCCAGTCTGACACTCTAACCACTACACTACATTACACAGTCTCATGTTATAGCTTCTTTTTATATTACTACATTATATACCCTTCATATACGAAACTTTTTGCAATGTATGGTACAGAAGTGCCATCTGATCATCTGCAAAACTATGTCACACAGGTTTGTTAACTGCTGCAATTACAGGAGCAATCATGATCTGCAGCGTGCATGGTATGTGAGCTAATCTATCTGTGGGACACACGGCTGAACTGGGCCACTGGTACGGAAACGTGTGATGCGGTGACCCTTTCTGTGTGTGCCCTTGCACGCTCACACTGCTGTGCAGGCATCAGCTCATTAGCTTATACTGTTAATTTATATTATTTTAACGAAGTTTATTTATGTCTGTGAGCCACCCCGAGGCTTCGGCGAATGGGGCGGCATTGAAGTTTACTAAATAAATAAAATAAATAGATAAAGAGAATATTCCTATGACAAGCGTGTAGTTGCCTTTGAACCTTCTGCTCCCCGCAAATACCAAGGATCTCCCAGTGCCCCTCCAGCCTTTGCCACTGTTCTGGGCAACTGTGAACAGCTGCACAAGCGGAAAGGAAACAAGCCTACCTGAAAGAGGGCATCACAGCAATGCTCGGCTGGCATGCGGGAACGCGGCTACGCTGCTTCAGTGGTGCGCATTTAAAGCAGTGCCAAACAAGTTGAAGCAGAGAGGCTGATGAGTTTGAAGCAAAGGAAACGGGACTATAAAATCCCTTTCCATCTGCAAGGCCCGGGTGATGCAGCGACTGCACTGGCCACACACAACACATGAAAGCTGTGACAAATGCAGACTAAGGTAATAGTTACAATACCAACAGACTGGGGCAACTTCAGAACTACAGAAGCGTAAGAAATTTTGGTAACCAGAAATCTGCGTTTAAAAGTGGACTGAGGAAATCCAAGATTGAAGCAGAAATACCAGTAGGATAATAGTTTGGGTGCGTGCTGGGTGCTATGCTGATGACTGGCCCCGATTTGAAGTGGCTTTCCAAGCCCAGGGTAAGAAGGAAGCCTGGTTAGCACTGGCAATGGCCAGCATTAGTGCGAATGAACACTGCCCCAGGGCTAAGGCCAACAAAGAAGAGGGAGCAAAAGAAAGAAAGTGGCATCGAAGAGGGAACTGCATTCCCAAGGGAACCTGCCTTACTTTCGCTTCAGACCCTCGCGGTACAGCCACTCTGTGAACGAGTCTGCCTCGTATTTGTGCAACTATATCAAGTCAGTTCACATCTCTGACTGAGGGGAGGTCCACGTGGCTCCTGCCCTTGCTCAGCCATCCTTATAGCAGCCTTCTCCAACCCGGCACTCTCCAAACGTTTTGCACTAGAGCTCCCTCCTTTCCTGACCAGAGGCTGGCTATGCTGACTGGAACCATTAGGAGCCCTCGTCCAGCATGCCACCAGATAGGGGAAGGCAGCCTTACAACAACTCCGTACAGGGGCTTGTGCACTATTATCCCTACTGTAATGGAGAAACTGTCTGCAGTCTTGTTACATATTTTCTTGGCTGAGGAGAGAAGGGCCAACGGATATTCAGAACTTTCAGGCATAGAGGCAAGTTTCTGGCTACAGATAAGTACAAGGTATGAACCATGCGAAGTCCCTTTCTCTGCTCTTGGGAGCTACCCCAACAAAGGCTGGTGTTGTGGTTACAATGAAAGTGGGATCTTGCTTAACACTGTCTGCGCCTCCCGATTCTCCCCTACAAATGCCCTCCCAGGTTTTATCCCCCCGACACACAAACCACACACCTATTTTTCCCAGCACTTATATATTTCAATGCTTCTATTCTGCTTTTTTTCATAGAGCTTTCCAAGCAGACTTATTATCAAGGCAAAAGGGACTTGTATTCCCCTGTAACTTGTCCCTATGCCTCCATATGCAATATTTAGAGAATGATGATAGTCCTGGGACAGTAAAACTGAGCAAAACAGGACTGCCCATTGCTATAGGCAAGTTCAGCCAACCAGCTGGGAGTACATGACTGTCCAGCAGGGTTGGAGCATCTTTTTGAACCAAGGGCCATATTCTCTCAGGGGGAATCTGTGGATGTTGGCAGTGAGCAGAAAGAATGAGGCAAAAGCCCACGGTGGACAGGGCC